ACTTCAAGGGGACCAATCAGCTGCAAAAGCGAAGACACCATCTGCTGCAAAGATACAGACTATTATATCTAACCCTGAGAATAATCCGGGTTATTACTTTATACTGGACTTGGACGAAGATGGCAAAGCAGAGAAGATGGAGGAAAAATCAAGCAATTGGAGGACCAAATGAAGGTAATCAAAAGAGACCATGACTATCATGGAGTCGATGCTGCATAACTCAGTCTAGTCCCAGACTTAGTTCTTTCTCCGAAATTCAAGTCCTCGGAATTTGAGAAGTTTGACGGGAACAATTGTCCATTCGCTCACATCACCATGTTCTGCTGAAAAATGACATGATATGGAGGAAACGACCAACATGGGTTTATTCCCCAGCCAAGTATAACATAACTCAAGACGAGAAGGGTTATCTGTCAACAAAGACCTTCGAATTCGATTACATTTAGCTCAAAAACACCTCAAATTCGCAGCATAACTCAAGGCTAGAAGTGTTATATGTCAACAAAGACCTTAGAGTTCAATTACACTCAACTCAAAGGCACATCGTTTGCAGTATAGCTCAAGGCAAGAAGGGTTATCTGCCAACCAAGACCTTCGAGTTCAATTACACTTAGCTCAAAGGCCCATCATTTGCAGTATAGCTCAAGGCAAAAAGGGTTATCTGCCAACCAAGACCTTCGAGTTCGATTACACTCAGCTCAAATGCACATCATTTACAGCATAACTCAAGGCTAGAAGGGTTATCTGTCAACAAAGACCTTCGAGTTCGATTACACTCAGCTCAAAGGCACATCATTTGCGGCATAGCTCAAGGCAATAAGGGTTATCTGCCAACAAAAGACCTTCAAGTTCGATTACACTCAGCTCAAAGGCACATCATTTGTAACATAGCTCAAGGCAAGAAGGGATATCTGTTAATCAACACCTTCGAGCTCAATTCCATTCAGTTCAAGGGCATATCCAGTACAACATAACTCAAGGCGAGAAGGGTTGTCTGTCAATAAAAACTATCGAGTTCGATTCCATTCAGCTCGATGACACATCAATCACACTACTTTCCGACTACAGTCGAGAAGAAGACCTGTGTTAGCCTTGCCTTAGTAACAAGAAACTGTTTTTCGATAGTATAACTTAAGTCGAGAAAAGCTATCTGTCAATGAAGACCTTTCGAGTTCGATTTCATTCAGCTCGAGGGCCTATCAACCACAGGGTGGAATCAAAGAATTACTTTCCAGTCGAATTTTTAAACCAAGGTCTTTAAACCGAGAAGAAGACCGAAGCGGACTACAACGAGAAGCCATATTTCGATTCAAATTCTGAGTTATGGCTTCAATCCCACATCATTTCAAGATGGACCCGACTTCGCAACGAATGAGCCATCCGCAACTCAAATCGACAGGGAGTTATTCTTAATTGGAATATCATAATATATTTCCAACTCCACCGAACGAAATTTGTGTCCTTTTATCTTTGTCCTATTTTTCATTCCACTAAAAATGACTAAGAGGGACAACTGTAGACACATAATTTCGTTCGATTCTCATATCACATATTTATAATATATATATATATATATGTTTATTTGATGTATATATATAAATGTATATTTATTTATTATTTTATTACACTTGCAAGCCCATTACACGCGTAACCCAAAGCCCAACCCAAAGTGGAGCCTAAGAACCAAACTGCCAGACAAGCCGCGAATCGGATCCAACCCGAACTGGTTAAGGTTCTGGAACCCTAACCCCATCCTTTATTCCAATAGTCCTCACCAGCGTCGCATGAGATCAACCCGCATCCAAGTTTCATGGCCACACGCCAATGATCCCGAAATGTCCGATAACACCAACTCACCAAACAACCCACGAAGACAACAAAGCAAGAAACATCATATATTAGCAATTTTGTTCGGAATAAAACTCCTAAAAATAGGACTTATCTCTACTATAAAATCATGTAACTAGACTAGGAGTTGGACACGATTAGGAGGCAGAAAAAAGTCATTCGAAATACATATTAAACTAGGAAAGAAATACCAAAATATCCGAAGCTTTTTGTACAACGTTCGAAGAGAAATACAAGGTAAATGTCGAACCTTTTTCGGATTTATGCTTGCATGTAGTCTTCCTTGACTTTTGATTCGAAAAGAAACAAAAAAAGAGCGTTTTTTGTCGATGAACGGGGGGCATTTTCGAGATCTAGCCCCCGGGGTTTATTTTTTAAAGAAACTATTTTGACTTTTAAAACAGTGAGGAGAAAAGCTTTCGGAAAATCAATTTTTTTTGCGTTTAATCGCCGATGACCGGCGCCCGACGAGGTGGCTAGATTCTGGAAATGTCGCCATGTTCTTCATTTTTGAAGAACAGGCGAGAGGAAAAGATGAACAATGGGAGGGGTTCGATTTGAGTTGAAGTAGGAAATGAGGTTTTAATTTTTTTGGCTTTTATAGTTAACCCATACCCTGTTTCAACCCGCGCGCTGACCCGATCCATAACCTGAGGATCTGCGCGTTTTTGCTTCTAAAGTGGATAAATTCAGTTTTAGTCCCCCTAAGTTGTAATTTACTTATTTTGATCCCAAATCGATTCTAAGCCCGATTTTTTTTTTCTGAAATTAACCCTTGAATTTGACTCTCCTTTCAATTTAAACCTTTTTCATTATTATTATTTTATATTTTATTTTATTTTTTTATTTATATCTTTATATACCTTGTTTATACATTATTATTATATATATACATATTTTATTTTTATAACTATCATTACGACTATTATTATTATTATTTTATTATTAACTTATATATTTTACCCTTTTATTTTTTTTATTTTTTATTGTTATTTTTTTCTTTTTTTTCTTTTTTTCTGTAATTTTTCTGTATTTATTTTTATTTTCTTTATCTTTACTTATTTTTTATTTTTTTATATTTATTTGGTTTCTTATTTATTTTTATTTTTTATATTTTTTATTTATTATATTATTATTGGGTTTTTTATTTTTATTTTATTTTTTATTTTTATTTTTATTCCTTTTATTTCCTTATTTTTTTTTATCTCTTTCTGCTTATCTATTTTATTTATTCATTTTTTATGTTATTTACTTTCATTACCTTTTTCCACTAACACGTTTCTCGACTTTTTAAGGACGCAATTTAAATCAATCTAACGTAAGTAGTTTGGATCGTTATTTTTACCTTTTAATCTAAACTTTCAACTTTCTTAATTAAAGACAATTGGAAATTACATAGTACCGAAAGGGCAACTCTAGGGTGCTAACCCTTCCTTGATTGTAACCGACTCCCAAATCTAACACATCTTTTGGTAAGGCGCAAATTAGATAAGAAATAAGGTATCCGATCAACCCATTTGTTCTTAAAATAAATGATCGGTGACGACTTCAATCCATTTGTTCAAATAAATGATGACTGATAACGGATAACGATTGACTAACACCGATGATCAAGGGAGGTGGCGATTTTATAGAGAACCCAAATTAATAAACAAATAAAAATTGTTTGCTTAAATTTAATTTTCTTTAAAGATCAATGACAAAATCGATATACAAACTAAAGTTCAAGTGAAAGAAACAATCGTATCATTATGTCATTGACTATTTAATGACTCGGTATCATAATTGAATTGAAACTAAAGATGAATATTAAAATTGAAGTAATTTAAAAATTAATGAAAAAATTATTCACGACATAAAGTATAATGATATTCGAGGTAATTTATCATATATCTAATTACTATTTTTTGATAACCCTAATTACTGCCGACTGTTAATGATTCTAGATAATAGTGTATACGTTTGCACAGAGAAGGGGTTAAGCATAAACTAATAAATATTCATAAATTATGAATAAATGCTAATTTAATAAAAATTGCATTAAAAATCAAATAGTCATTGAGCTTGTTCAAATTGGTTTTAGATCGAAATTTAAGAAACAAATAGTGGTATCAATTTAGAAGCCATCTTCCCATTAAAACGGTCCTGTTTGTTTTCATCTTGATATGGGGCTAACGAATGCGTCGCATTCACGGATCATGAAGCCAAGTGTGAGAGAAGGATTTGCTGCCTATTTACAGTCCCATCAAGAAGGTTATATATGGTTGAATTTTAGGTGACAAGTCAATTTTTTCAGAGCTGATTATGCACTATTGATTATGTGCAGTTAAGAAGGTGCCCCATACCCGACAGAATTCAAGAAAATACATGAATATGATTAAGGACTGTTTAACTCAACAACTAAGGCGTATGTTGAATTTACTGAGGTGTGAAATCTGTACAGATTTCAAAATGCTGCTTTGAAAGAGCTTTTATTTTTTAAGGAAACTGAAATTTCTGAGCACTTTTTCTTGCAGTTTTTACTGATATTGGACAATCTTCCGACTTGGCGTAATTGGTATGGTTGGATTCACTCGGACAAGGTCTGAAAAACCAGATTGGTTGCATCGTAAAGCTCAATATTAATAAAAAACGGTTGATCAGAAGCTTCAATCTGCTCCTAGAAAACGTCACAGGAAACAATGTAACGCCATTACTGTTATTGTCCTTCTGTGCTAGACTGATTCATAACGTCGGTGGTCGGAAAACTTATTATTTTTATACAAGGAAAGAACAAATACTATAAACCAATTATTTTTCCTATATATTGAGTTTATTACCATGAATATTTTGGACAAAAACCGAATAAAGTGTTTCTTTTAGTATCCCAAATGATCAAAGGATCTGTGTGGGTCAGAAATCTCATTGAAGAGCTATCTCATCAGCAGTTTGATGAGTCAAGTGAAGGCCACCGTGGGGCACTTTTGGACTCAACATTGGTTGTGGTGGTACCAAAGGAAGAAACTGATATACAAACAGCACCGGGTAGTGTTTCGGGCAAATCCATTAGTGGCTCATCGGGGTTCAAGAATATTTGAACCACCTTCCTTATCTTGGGACGTTGTGTAGAATCAGGGTGCAGGCAAGCAAGACCAACCATTAATGTTCTTTTCACTTGTTCTTCGTTTAATTCACTTTCTAGCATTTGATCCACACAGTTGATCAGTTCTTTTGAACCATATGCGTTCCATACATAATCCACAAAGCTGTTTTCATCAATGATACCCTTTGATTGCTACCATGCCGAAGCTGTAAACATCGGATTCAGGTGTAGATTTCCCAATGAAACCTACTTCTGGAGCCAAATATCCTGGAGTCCCTGCTAACATGGTTGTCACTGCGGCATCGTTTTGGAGCAACCTTGCTAACCCGACATTGCTGAGATGAGCATTGAATTCCTCGTCCAACATAACATTGTTTGGCTTAATGTATCTGTGAACGACGGGGTTGCCACTGTCTTCATGGAGATAAAGCAATGCAGATGCCAACCCTGTTAATATCTTGAATCTAGTCTCCCAGTCGAGATGACACTTGCCAATGTAACGGTCGAGGCTTCCATTCGGCATGTATTCGTAGACTAAGAGGAGATGTTCGTCTTCATGGCACCACCCCAAGAGTAGCACTATGTTTTTGTGCCTTAGCCGCTCTATGGTACATATACTTTTCACCTGTATGATCACATAAAGAAAACATAAAAAAACTTCACAAAGATTGTTGTTAAAGGAATAAAATATCGTGTTTTACGAGCAATGACGAAAAGTTAAGTAGATGAGACCTTGTTTCGATGTTGCTGAAATCTTCCTGACAGCTACAATTGTTGGGGGATCATCCTTGAAGCTACCTTTGTAAACACGCCCAAACCCAACAGTTCCAAGCAGATCTTCCGTACTAAAGTTATGAGTAGCCTTTGCAAGAATTGGAGGTGACAATTGGGGCATTTTAATCAGGTTTGGATCGAGTCATTTCGAGTTAGGTAATTTCAGTGCAGATCTAATTCGAGTGTGCGGTAAATCGGATCGGGTATCGGGACGGGTCAATTTTTGGGTCACGTGATTAATGGGTCAGTTGTTTTTCGGTTCGAATCAGTTGATTTTTTGATCGGATCAATATTGGATCGGTTGATTTTTGAATCGGGTCAATATCGAATCGGTTGATTTTTGGTTTAGGTCCAACCTTTAGATCATGTTAACTCGAGTTGAATTGATTATGAGTCTAACCAAAATCAAGTATATATGGAATTATTGATATATTCTTGTAAAAGTATGTCTTCTTCTTTGTTAATCTTATCATTTAAACCTAATTTCAATTCTCAATTATTCAATATTTTGAATTAAACCATCATTTAGAGATGATAAATCGATAATTTGACACAAATATGATCTTATAATTTGTTATCAAATTTTTATATTGATCTCGTATAAAAAGTTTATAATGAGAACTATTTGATAAAGAAATAATTTTTTTATTAAAAATTTTATTTCCAATTATAAATTTAACATTTTTATTAAATTTTAAAAAAATACATAAATTTATTTATTAAGTTTTAGTAGTAACATCAATAAACTTTATATTATTTTTATTATAAATCTAATATTATTTCCTTTGTTTTAATTGTTTTCTATTATTTTTATTATAAATTTAATATTTTTATTACAAATAAGATAAATAAACTTTATGTAATACTGCTTTACAATTAGAATTTTACTTTTATATTCCTCTTAAACTTTCTATTATTTTATTATAAATCTAATATTTTTAATAAATTCTCCATTTTATTTAAATTAATTTTTTATTAAAAATAACTTTTATCGTTTAAATTAAAGTAAACTTCCTTATATATATTCAAAATCAAAATAGATTTCATTATTTAAGTTAAATATTTATATAGAATTTCTTTTATATATTATTTACAAATGCTATATATATAAGTATGATATTCGGATTAAATTCGGTTCAAGTTGCTCTCGAATCAGGTTAAATTCAGTTTGAGTTTCTTTCGGTTCGGGTTAATTTCGATTCGAGTTGTTTCGCTAAATTTGGGATCGAGTATGATTCGGGTATTGGATCAAATTTGATTATCATTTTCGGGTTAATATCGAGTATTGGGTCGGGTAAATCGTTTCAGCTAATCGGGTTCGGGTCAAGTTTGCTAGGTCTAGCAAGCATCTTGTGTGTGAACATGGTTTATCAGGGGACAATATGTTCAGAAGTTCTCAATATCCCAACCTGGTTGAGCACATCAGAATCTGAAGCAGATGGAACAAATGTAATTGCAAGACCCTTGGTGCCAAATCTACCAGCTCTACCAACCTGCAAATAATGATAACCATAGGTTATATTTAAAAAGAAGCAAGATTAGTACGGAAATGTAGTCAAAATAAAATCTACCCTGTGCAGGTATGTATCAGCAGAATCAGGCATGTCATAGTTGATGACAATGTTAACACGTTCGATGTCAATTCCCCTTCCAACCAAATCTGTTGCCACAAGAATTCTTTTATGACCCTCCTTGAAACCCTTGTAACAAGTCAACCTACAAATCACATCATATTAAATTGAGCACTACTCTTCTGGAGGAGAAATTATTAAATGGATTCCTCTCACAATGCCATCCGTGATCCCAATCAATAAGATACATAATTCCAAAGTAACTTCCAAATAGCTACCCACCTTGAAAAAAATATGAGATGAATGGATTTTATTGGTTGGGACCATAGATGACGTGGTGAGCTGAATCCATCTAATAATTTTTTCTTCTGGAGACTCGAACAGAAAAAGAAGGATGATCCTCTAGACAAGTAAGCACCCAATAAATAGACATTGGACCTGCCAACCAAGCCCTAAAACAAGGTACCTAGATTTGGGGTCACAGGAAATAAATAATACCAAGTAAACTCAGAAGAACAAATCAAGTCAAAAGGGATGCTACTTAATATTTGTTTTGCATCTCTCTTATAAAGGGGAGAAAGGGGAAAATGGTCATGTTGCATTACCCAAAATCATCTTAAAACCAATATTCCTTTGTTCCAAGTGCTTATACATCACAGCATCCATTAGCAGAATACACAAAATAAGCAACCAAACAACCATACCCAGAGAATTAACCATGACAGAAAATCTGCTTTACAAACTTTTAATAAGGATCAAGGGTCCTCATGTTGAAGGCCCTTAAGTAATTTATTTTACAAGAATATGAAGTTGGCAAGCCTCTCATTCAAAAAAGGTCAATGTAGAAAGAATAAAAGATGATGCTGATAGGTAAAAACCTTTCTTCCTGGGACATGCTGTAGTGAATGCATATAGATGGAAAGTTGCACTCCAGAACTAACTTGTTCAACTCAGCTGCACGGTTCACACTTTTGACAAATATAACAACTTGGTTGAAGTCCAACGCATCAAGGTGGTCATTCAACTTGCAATTTTTCTCCATCTCACTCAATTTGATGTAATGCTGTCATTGGAAGCATTTTCCTTATAAATATCTTTCAAAAAAATTAAAAATGAGGGAGGGTGAGCTAAGCTTTACAGATACCCGTACAAGACCATGAAGGGTCAACTTGGCTTCATCATCAACATAAATTTCCATTGGCTGAGAGAAACAAATGCCACAGTAAATCATATTAGGGAGCTTTGTCAAGCAAATGGAATCCGGAACAATATAAATTGCACATCCCTGAATTGAGATTCTGTCCATAGGTCTTCTTGCCTCCTTGCAGATTTGTTACTTAGTTACAAAATGCAAGTGCTGCTTTCCCTTTAAAAACAAAGTTTCTATTACATGACAGCCCCTCCATACACCCCAAACAAAGAAATGCCCAACCCTTCTAACCAAGCTCAACTCTAAACCCATACCCATAGCCTAAACAGAGAGCTGAAACAAAACTAAACCAAAATAAAATAAATTAACTCACACAAATCTACTACTTTAAAACCCTACACAGTGCAAACTTGCAAATAGCTGGCTGAAGCAACTGCACCCAAGAAGCAGCCCCAGGAAAGTATATAGAGATGGATCCCCCAGATGTAAAAGTTTACAAAACTATCAGAGGAAGCTGGGCATGAATTAAAAGATACTTCTCAATTCACGTGGTACTTGCCATGGAAAATTACATCTTGCATAAATTTCTTGCAAACAGGGCAAATTTCTTTGCTGAGTGTTGCAGAAAACATCATAACTTGCTTATCATGAGGGGTCATCTTGAAGATCTCCTGCACATCTCTCCTCATGCCTGCAGAAGATAAGAAGAATAAGTATGGGAGGTAACAGCATAAGTAAATTAAACATTGAAAAAATAAAACCCTTATCCAGTTTTTTGTCAAGAAAACCATACCAAGCGATTCAAGCATCTTGTCACATTCATCGAGAATGAAATGCCTCACATTCTTCAAAGAAAGATCCTTGTCTCTTGTCAGAGCCAATATTCTTCCAGGAGTCCCAACAACAATGTGGGGGTATTCATTTCTCAATAGATCTTTGTGAACTTTGATATTGACACCTCCATAGAAGACAGCAACCTTGATATCAGGCAGATAAGTACTGAACCTCTCAAACTCATGACAAATCTACAAGAGGAAAACAAAAAGAGTTGACATATATCATATAACTTGAAGAAACAAAGCAATATTTTATTATCACAAAGCTTTCAACAAAAGATGCAGAACTTGTTCTGACCTGGTAAGCTAACTCCCTTGTATGACATAAAACAAGGGCAATAACTTGTCCTGGACTAGGTTCGATTTGCTGTAGTGTTGATAGAACAAAAACTGCAGTCTTTCCCGTCCCTGATTTAGCTTGGCAAATGACATCCATACCCAATATAGCTTAGGGAATGCATTCATGTTGCACTGGCATAGAACCAAAGAGAAGTGCATCGAAGGAACCTGTGGTAAGTAAAATATAACATCCGTGATCTGATTAATTGAAACTTTATGATAGTGGTATATTACCTGCAAAAATAATGCATCAAACAAAAAATTAGACCAAACAATTATTTCATACAAGATAACATTAAAAATAATCAAACATTATGCATTCAAAACCCCGTGCATGGAAATTAATAACATGATAAACAGTAAAAGAACAAGCCATATATGAACTTTAACTTATAACTATGGCTTTAAATATGAAACTGTATCCAAGGTTAAGTGGTTAACAAATATAAAACAGGGAAGAAGTATCAAGAGTTTGCCTTCCGAAGGGTGCTCAAATCCAGAGTCAACAATGGTACGAAGAAGCTCTGGTTTCAAAAGGAAGTCTCTGAATCCTGAACTGTGGATGTCAACATAGCCCTTACAAATACAAAGAAACGTCATAATTAGAGCGAAATCCCTTCCCCATGGATTATTTACCATAACACACAAAAGTAAAACAAAATATTTATTTAGTCTTTCTCCAAAAAGAGAAAAATTAAAATTATTTCATAAATATTAAATAGCAGTTAAACAAAACAAACGAAAAGTAATGTCTGCAAAGTTTCTCCCATTTATCTGCCATTTATCTGCAAAATAAAAAAAAATGTTAGGGCGTTAAAGAAACGTAAGATCAATAAGAGTTTCAAAGAGAAACAGCTTCGAGAGATTTACCTTCGAGCTTAATTGAAACGGGGAGAAAATATATGTATATTTTAGTGTCGTACTCGTAGCGAGGAAAAAACTGGAGCTTTTTGAGACTGGCCATCATAAACAACAGAAATTTTATTTAATTTCATAAAATACCCTAACTGCTTCTTATTATTTATCATCTCTGACTGCGCTGGACCCATCTGGCTGTTAACCCTGGTTTTTTGGCTCAATATCCTTGTGGAAAAATTAAATGGCCCAATAGACCAACAGAGAATTTAATTTGTAATTTACGGAATTTGCTACAGTAATCATAGAACTCACTCTCTCGAAGTGATGAGTTTCTTTGAAAATAATTTTTTATTGGTCTCATGTATATGGGCACCATGTGGGTCAATATTTTAATATTTTCATAATTTTTCGTCACGTCGACATGATAAATTTAATTAGAAAATATTTTTATATTTATTAAATAATTTAAAAATAAAAAAAATAAAAATCTCATCACGTCGAGGTGAAGAATTTAGCTTTAATTTTAAAAAAATTAATCATTGTTCGACGGACAACTTTTGAATTCAAAAATATTATCTATTGGAACTCATCACGTCGACGTGATGAGTTTCACCATATTTAATTTTAAAAATATTAATTAAAAATAATATTAAAAAACTTAATTAAATAATTTTATTACAAATTAATACAATAGATAATAAAATTTATTTATATTATTTTAGTTCTTGGCAATACTGAAAAGTCATTAAATGATAATGTCATGGGGCTCGTCAAATATGTTGGGCCTTTTGCCTTGATCCTCTTCGTCTACATCTTCGTTTGCTTCTTGAATAAGAGGTGTATTGAACATCACTCCCATTTGAGATGCACATTCGAAATACGATGATAGACTTATGGTATTTGACATTATCATTGTTGTCATTGACTCGACTTGGCTATGTTGTTGATCATATATAATATGATCCCATTCACCTTCAGCCGTATATTCAGTATAAGATGTTTGAGTGCTTTGCATTGGATCCCATGAACGTCCAACTCAATTCGACTTAGTCTCTATGGAAGAATGATATGAAGGATAAAAACTAAAACTGGTCTGAGATGCATAATAATTGGCATAAGCAAAAGTAGAAATAAACGACAAAGATGATGATGATTTCTTCTTCGCCTTTGTGAATTTGGTATTTTCTTGTTCTTATTCTTCCCTCTCTTTTGATGTTTTTAAATATGATTTCCCATTTGCTTCATAATTTTAGAGGTAGGGAGAAATATCGAAATCAAGGTCAGCGGGTGTAATCTCGTAACGTATAAAGACCAAGAAATGACGCTGATTCTATTTCTTAATGTAATCAACATATTTCTTCGACCAATTGTCTTTATGCTTCCCATGCGTATCAATTCTATGGAGCACAACCATATTAAAAATTTGCGTAGGAATCGATTGATGAGATCCAAATTGTTGTAACACTTTATCTGCGGCGTGAATCTCAACAATTGCAAATTGTAGCAAAGGCGTAAGGACACACCACAATTATGACCCTTCAAAAAATCCTAATGGCAATAATCGGTGGATCTCATCGTCATAATATAGGATCCAAGAAAATTGAAAACATTCAAAATAAAATTTAGCATAAATAAAGTGCAAAAATTTAATTTAATTTTAGTAATTTAAAAAATTAATATTTACCGCATGTTGACCGACGATATCGATTCTCATTCGTATATCTTTTTAGTTGCACCTGACAACTTGGTCTCCGTAATTTTATGTCGTCATCTAAATAATATAAAAATTAAAATTACAAAAACTTCAAAAAAATAAATTTAAAAAATTACTAATAAGTAATGTTAAAAAATTACATTGCAGCAAGAGGAAACTCAACCGGGGCTGTTGTAATTGGCATAAAAACAAAAATCGATACTACGCCCAAGATTATAGTAGGACTAAACAACTCACTACATACGTTTTTTGATCCCGTTCGACAATTGTAGCATTGCAAAGTTCTCGGTATAAAAAAATAAAAATCGTCAAGGCCTAACAAGTATTGTGACACTTAGTACAATCAATTGGAGCAGATACACTCGGGTTGCAAAAGTCACCTCTTCGTCGGTAGAGTCGCCTATCACTTTAAATTCGGACTCTAACCAAGTGATCCGTATCCGATACCCATCTAAGACCTCTAATGGTGACATCTTTCCCAAAACTTCGTGAACAATTCTGAATATGTCGAAACTATTGTGCCTTACTACCGCTGCACCATTAACCGGAACACCGAGTTGGTAAGCAACATCTCCCAACGTAATTGTCACTTCAGCACTCGAAAAATGGAAAACATACGTTTCCGACCTCCAACGTTCAATGAGAGTCGTAATCAATATCGGGTTCACTTTAAAACCACGTGAAAACATCATTGGATACAACCTAAATTGTTGCAAATATATAATAATTCACTTATGTGTATATTTAAGACTCATTCATCGTTGGCAAACGCTCCGCTCTTCTGAACCGAGCTCGAGCGAAGAAATATAGACATCATCGAGGCGTAACATTTCATCACGGGTAAACATTTTTCGAAAAATTTTAATTTTTTTCTTAACAAAACACAATAAAAAAACCTAAACCCCAAACACAACAACAACAACAACAACACCCTATTCCCATATGCAATGGGGTAAGGGGGAGGTAAGGTAGTAGGCTGCCCCCAACGCCAGGTTGAGAGCAGCTTCCGTAGAAGACCTCCGGCAGTCAGAAAATTAAAAGATAAAATGCAATGCATGTATAAATAAATAAATACATAGTTGAAACAGCCTTCATATGCAGTCTACATATGCGCGTCTGTAGAAAGTAATCCCTGCAAATAAATCTCTGCATAAAAAGGCTCTACATATAGACATAAACGTAAGATCCGACTAAAATTAAGAAGAGGAAACCTGAAGAGAATACTACACATAAGTCAACGATAGCAAGCAACGAGAAGGAATAAAGTTAAAAGGGTTAAAACCTAAACTAAGGTAGCACTTCTCCGCTACCGTAGTTCTAAGCCTTCAAAAATTACAATGAAAAAAACGTATAAAAAGTAGAAGTCATTGAAATTTCTACAAAGGCATTAAAAGAAGACAAAGATGATACACCCTATGGATGTGACCCACACTACTTGGCTACCCTGGTCTTAAGTCTCCATACTTTCCTATCAGAGGTCATGTCCTCGGTAAGGGCTAAATCCTTCAAATCATATCTCAAGCTGTCTTCCCACTTCCGTCTTGGTCGTTCTCTCCTTTTGGCATCGTTGACTGTAATCGACTCTACCCTCCTGACCGCATCCGACGGTTGTCGTCTAATAACATGCCCACACCACCGTAGTCTTCCCTCCCTCAATTTTTCGGATACAGACACCACCCCCAAGGACATCCTAATAGCAGAGTTTGGTGTCATGTCCCACCAAGTCTTACCACATGCCCATCGAAGCATTCTCATTTCTGCGGCCTCCATCCTCCTTACGTGATCCTTCTTGATTGCCTAAAATTCTGATCCATACAGTTGTAATCTGCCCATTGCAGCTGCCCATTGTGTAACGACTAGAAACGACTATTTTTTTAAAAAAATTTAAAGCAAACTCGTCACCTCGACGTAACGAGATTTGTAGTTTTTTTTTTTAATTTTTTTAAATATTTTAGTATATATAAAAATATTTTCTAACGAGACTCATCATGTTGATGTAATGAGGCCCTATGAAAACATTAAAATATTGGTTAACATGAGACCCATATACCTAGGATCAATAAAAAAATATTTTCAAGGGAATTCTTCACTTGAGGTGAAATTCCATGATTACTATAGCAAATGCAGTAGACTGCAAATTAAAATATCTACTGGCTTATTGGGCTAATTAAATTTTTTGCCGGGAGTATTGGGAAAAAAACCGTTAATGCTTGTGGTCATTTCCCACCCTAATTTTGGCCCAAAATTAAAAAATATAAAGTTACCAAAAAATTAAAACCCCAATTAATTTGCATTAAATATATTAAAATTCTACCAAACATTCTCTGTGAATTAAAAAATTAAAAAAATATTAAAATAATAATTTAATTGAAATTGAAATTCAAGACTTCGACTATTTTTATTTAGTTTCTTTATCTTTGATATACATATATCATTATTTACAAAAATAGATCGAAAAGGATATTGAAAGACAAACGTCTCATATAGTTTTTTTTTTCATTATTCTGGTTCCATCCACGAATCATGCACTGCTACCTGTGTAAGTAACTATACAAACATTTAGGAAAGAAAAGCTGAACTAATTAATATGAATATTTGATTTAATATTATTAAGATTAAATTATTTATATAAAAAGCCAACTCTTACCCCTGTACTTGTGCACGTAAAACGCACACATTGCTTCTGGCAAAGTGGTTGCCGGGAAGCAAAGTTGGGATCTTATTCCTACTTCAAATTGCAATGTATTTTGTCTCTTTCTTCACCCTTTCAAATGAGAGAAAAGCAATACCAAGTATACTTTTGGAGAATATGCCTCGTCGAAATCTTTTTCATCCATTAACCTATCTCTAAGGCAATCACCCTAAACCTCTATTCCTCCTTGCTTAGGAATATGTACAGATTGTGGGTGCATTTTTTTCTGATATTGTTAACGCTTTGCAGGTTAAACAATGGAGGAGCAGCAGCCGGAGCAATATTTTTTGCACGGGACACTTTTTGCAACAATATATGGGATTGATGAGCTACATTATGGATGTAGAGAGAATTTTTGCCTTGGGGTAAGCAAGTATTATTTAGGGACTATTTGTTGATGAAGTTTGAGCTGCATTCATCTTAGGAATAACTTCTCATTTCTTATGTTGTCTGAACTCTTTGAACCTAAATATAAGAGTGTGTGATCCTCCAAAAGTGCTCATATTCAACATACATATTGCACACTCACCTCGAGTCTAGATAAGTCGTACCGATAGACATACATATTTGACATACTGATGGAATTGAATCATTGTGATTTTGTTTTCTTTAAATGGTGGAGACGATGAGCGGGGGCAAGTTCCAGAAAAAATGTCTTGCCAAAGTCAAGAGAACGGTGGGACACCTGCCTTATCCTTTGACGTTTCACAAATCACTTGTGATCTTTTGTGTTCTAAAACATTTCAATAACATATTTTTTGCAGTTGTTAGGTCCACAGCTGTATGCAACAGTCGATCTAGACAAAGCTAGGGTCGCCCGCACCATGATTGTAAGACGTAAAGAGAACTTCCGCATATATTGTGCCCATTTGATCTCACATGTTATATTCACTGTAAAGGATAACAGTCCCATTGGGGCAGTGCTAATAGGCCGAGCTTATTTGCCTGTCAAAGACATAATCGATGGGTCTACCGTGACTCGCGATATTCAAATCCTTGATGAGGAGCAGAAGCCAATACCCGGACAGTCCATAATCCATATTAAGTTGCAGTTTCAAAGTGTCTCCGAGGATGAAAGTTGGTCTAGAGGAATTACAAACTCAGATTTTGGAGGAGTTCCTTTTACTTTCTTTGAACAACGAGCGGGATGCAAGGTTACCCTCTATAAAGATGCCAACATTTCGGATCGTTTCGGGCCTAAAATACCTCTATCTGGAGGGATGACTTACGAACCCCGTAGATGTTGGGATGACATCTTTGAGGCAATTGATAAGGCCAAACACTTCATTTATATAACTGGTTGGTCTGTTTACTCACAGATGACTTTGATTAGGGATCCAAGTAAGCAAAAGCCTGGAAGTGAAGAAGCACTTGGGCAGCTGCTTTTGAGGAAGGCTAAGGAAGGGATGAGAGTTCTTTTGCTTGTTTGGGATGATAGGACTTCCATTGAATTGCTGAAAGAGCAAGGCTTGATGTCAACCCATGATGAAGAAGCAGCTGCTTTTTTTCGGTTTACGGGTGTGCATTGTGTTCTTTGTCCTCGTAATCCTGATAATAAGCGAAGCTTTGTTCAGGGTTTTAAAGTTGCTACCATGTTTACTCACCATCAGAAGACACTAATCGTTGATGGTGAAAATCCGGATCCAGGGTCGGGGAAGCGAACGGTTGTCAGTTTCATTGGCGGCATTGATCTTTGTGATGGAAGATATGATACTCAAGACCATCTTCTATTCGGGACTTTGAACGACATTCATCATGATGATTTCGATCAGCCAAACTTTGTGAACTCTTCGATCAAGAAAGGTGGACCAAGGGAGCCTTGGCATGATATTCATTGCAAACTAGAAGGTCCGGTTACTTGGGATGTCCTTTACAATTTCGAACAAAGGTGGTTAAGACAAGCTCTGTTTAAGAAACATCTCCTATTTCCTAGGAGCAAGCTCGAGGAAATGATAATCCGACCACAAAAGATCCTGCCTTTAGATCACAGTGAAACATGGTGTGTTCAGTTGTTTTGATCCATCGGAGCTGTTGTTGGCTTTCCTGAAGAAATTGAGCTAGCGAAGAAACTCGGCCTTATCAGTGGGAAAAATACCTTCATCGAGCAAAGCATTCAAGATGCTTATATCAATGCAATACGCCGAGCAAAGAACTTTATTTACATTGAAAACCAATATTTCCTTGGAAGCTCCTTTGGTTGGACTCAAAGGACGTCAAGGATGAGGACATCGCTGCTCTAAATCTCGTACCAAAAGAACTGTCCCTAAAGATCGCAAGTAAAATAGAAGCAGGGGAGAGGTTCTCAGTCTACATGGTGATTCTGATGTGGCCAGAAGGTGTACCAGACAGTGGTCCAATTCAGGCAATCTTGGATTGGCAAAGGAGAACAATCGAAATGATGTATCGTGAATTCGTGATGTTGCACAAGCCCTTCAAAACAAGGGTCTAAACGCACATCCCCGAGACTATTTGGCGTTTTATTGCCTAGGGAACCGGGAGACAAAGAAGACTGAAGAGTATTCACCTAAAGAGAAACCAGAACCTAATTCAGATTATGGCAGAGCTCAACAGTCACGCTGGTTTATGATCTATGTTCATTCAAAGATGATGATCGGTATGTAAGGAAACTCGGCATAGTTTTAGTTTAAAAGAAATCTCCTGACCTTTTATTTATAGCTTCTTATTGTTGTTGTTCTTCAGTTGACGATGAATACATTATCATCGGATCTACCAACATCAATGAGAGATCAATGGCTGGTTCCCGAGACTCCGAGATTGCAATGGGAGCATTTCAACCACACCATTTAGCTACTACTCAACCCGCTCGGGGTCAGATATATGGTCTTCGTATGGCTCTTTGGCATGAACATCTTGGACATCTTCATATCTCTTTCACTACTCCAGAAACCAAGAATTGTATCATGGAAGTGAATTCTATTGCTGAAAGAAACTGGAATGTGTACACAAATGAAACGTTTGACGAGGATCTCCCGGGTCACATGCTTCGTTACCAGATTAATGTTGGAGAAGATGGCTCAATTTCATCACTTCCAGAGGCTGAAACATTTCCAGACACCAAAGCTCCCGTCCTTGGCAGCAAATCAAACATCCTTCCTCCAATTGTTACTACTTAGTTTCATTGATAGCGGTCCTTCTGAAAAAGAACATTATTGGATTTATTAATTGAAATGTAATTAATATATAAAACCATAAAACTGATTAATTTAGGAGGCAACAAAAAGAGACCATAAGAAAACTGAAAGGGAGCCTTTCAACTTTGGTAATTAAAACACCTGGAAACCAACCGCTTTCCAGGAACAAGATTTACGTTTTCATCACGAAATATCCAAATCCATCTCTAAACATGCCGTTCCTAAGATGTTAATTTCATTTCTTTCTTTCTCTCTAAAAGACCCTTTTTCCCCTTTCTTAGTTTCATTTTCCACGGAAGCTTCCAGGGAAAAGATTTGGAAAATAAAGGTATTGCCTTTTTTAAAAATTCTAGCAGGAATTCAAGTAATTTCTTTCCTGGAATTTTGGTTTCTACTTTGGGGGTTTTAGATGCAACCTTCTGGTTACCTTCCAACTTGGATCTCTACCGTTTTTGCCTGCATGAGGTCAATTCTTCTGCATTTCCTTTTCTATTGCAAGGAATAGAAGTTTGTACTTTTAAGCTGTTCATTTGAGTGAAATATTATCAAATCTGACTCTTAAGCTTTCTTGGTTATAAAACAAAGTTGTTAATGCTTCGTTTGTGTAGTTCAAGTTTGTTTTTTTTCTTTTGGTAAGGAATCTTGGGTTATGTTTAGTGCTTACTTGTTGTATAAGGGAACTATAAAATGAGACGTACAGACTAGGGGGAACGGTTTGGGGGACTTTTCGATTTTGGGGGAATTCTTTGCTTGAAGCATTGGGTACCTGATTGCATGACACGAGTTTTTGTTTTGCTTTTGGGATTTGGGGTTCTACTTCGGGAGGTATGGATCCTAGGTGTAGCCCAGACTGAGAGATGTTCAGGCAGAAACCATTTTGTTCTTTTGTTTTGTTTTCTAGAGCATTTTTACGTGCTCTAGCACTCCGGCTAATGGAAGCACTCAAGGCTAAATGCAAATCTCTTTTCAGTGTGAGGAACTACTTTTCTTTCTCATGTTTTTCTTTTGTTTGTTTTTTAAATGGACTAGGTTTGCATTTTTCTCAGAATTTACTGGGGTTGTCCATTGAATTGTCCTATTCTCTTCTTCTCTGCTGGATTGTTCTTCAATACAATATAGTTTACAAGTCCTTTCAGATTGGCAACAAAAATTACACTGTTTCCAGTAATTCTCTGTTAGTTTTGTTGGCGTTTTTGTTGGTCCCAGTGGGGTATTCATCAATAACCACTTAAATGGACCCAGCCCACTCACCTGCTGTCTCGTGGCCCCATTTGTATTATCAGAGAACACACGCAACTCACGAGAACATTTACTACTTTTACAGTTGTGAAAAGACAAAACACCAAATTACATGCATGAAAAGGATGTGGGTTTTTGAAGGTTAAAATCCATGGTAGTTTACCTTCTAAGGTGTGTTGTTTTCGTGTGGGGAAACCGTAGGAAACTTCCTGATCACCAGACAATCTAACCCTTGATTCAACTAAAGCAACTTGACTAAATGTGTTTCACATTTAACTTGATAATATGACAATAACCTAAAGAATTATGTAAGTAACTGATAACATGGCTGCTGACATTCAAAGTGGGATTTGCTGGCCCCACAACGCACCTAGGGATGGCAATGGGTCGGGGCGGGTCGGGTCGGGTTTTTGGGCCACCCGACCCGAGAAGAAAGGGTTTTTCACCCGTGACCCGACCCGATCCGACGAAATTAAGGTTTCACCCGACCCGACCCGGCCCGAATATATGACTTAGAAACCCGACCCGACCCGACCCGACCCGACCCGAAATAATAATAAAAAAAATTTTATTCAATGAAAACAGTGACTTAATTGAAAAAAATTATATATGGAGGGACATTATTGTAATTATCCCTAAATATATAGGATAAAATTATATATATTTTTCGGGTCGGGTCGGGTCGGATTTTTTTCACCCTAAACCCGACCCGACCCGAACAGTACATTTAAAAAAACCCGACCCGACCCGAACCCGATTTTTTTTTAAAAAAAAACCGACCCGATCGGGTCGAGTCGGGTCGAAACCCGTCGGATTCGGGTTGAGTTGCCATCCCTAAACGCACCATTCTTTTTCTTTGCCCTCCTCTCAAGCAAAACAAAACAAATGGGCATCCTTTCTTTTCTTTTCTTTTCCTCGGTTCAGTTGGGGCAAATCACCCTCGTCTTCAACTACCCCATTAACCCAACTTTTGTTTCTTTTTAAAAATTAGGGTAAACTAGTCCAATAGTCACTAATTTTGGGTAAGTTTTCATTTTCACCATTGATGTTTCAAAAGTCACAAATCAATCACTAACATTATCGTTTGTTACAAATTGGTCACTTACCGTTAACAGGCATGACGGAAAACACATGTGGACCGTTAATAGCCATTAACATGCTTACTTGGATGGTATAATTACACAAATAGATTTAGTCTTCCAATCAAATGATGACATGTGTCATCACAGGTGTGTAACCAATGACACATAACACATCTTGATTCGTAGGTAAATTTATTTAAATTTATTAAAATTATGATCAAATTAAAAGAATATATAAATAACATGGACTATTTTTGTAATTATATCATCCAGGTAAGCCTGTTAACAGCTATTAACGGTCTACGTGTGTTTTCCGTCACGCCTGTTAACGACGAGTAACCAATTTATAACAAACGATAACGTTAGTGACCAATTTGTAAGATAACAAGCAATTCCCTCGACGTAATCAATGAAAAAAATAAAAGGACATAGAAGGAGCAAGCAACTGGGATATGCTTCACATGTACTTCCAACTTTGATGAGTTGGCCGAATTAAAAATTTTATGTTATTTTAATAATTAGGTGAAGATTATTATAAAGAAAGAATTGGGAATTTTCGGATTATAAGTGGTCACCAAATTAGGTTAAAATAATGTTTTGAATTACTGAAATTTTAGAAATTATAAAATAATCATTAACTTTTTAAATGGTTATAAAATAATTATTAAATTTATAATTGTGTTATAAAATGATCTTTAAAATTATCAAAATTGTATTACATTTTGTAACATATAGTGATTATTTTATAATAATTTGATAAATTTAATAATTACTTTATAATTTTTGAAACTTTAATATCAAAAAGATCATTGTAATATAACTGAGTGACTATTTATGTACTTTTACCATATTTTAATATAATAGTGCCCTCGTGGATATCATGGCTGATTTTTAGTCCAAGTGCTTGTTTCAACTTTCTATAATAAAATATATAAAACAACATAGGAAAACAATTCAAGCATTATGTTTGTTAATTTATAAAAGTTTATGCAAATGTACG